TAGATATAAAATAATGATTTACAGTTGACAAGTTATGAGTTGATCACTCTGTATTCTGTATTCTGAAAGAATGTAAGTTGTTATATGATAGAAATTTTATAGTATTCTTTTTTCCCCTCTAAGTGAAGCGACCTATATTTGTGTATTATAATGTTGAGTTCTGTATTCCTTTTGAAACAGAATAAAAATTGTTTGGGGGAGAGGAGTTTCCTGCTATATCTGGAGGACCATCCCTGTTGGTCGGTTGCAGGGAGAAAAACACAGGGATTTGGTGTCACCCTAAAAACTTGCAAGTCATCATTTTGGCAGACGCTTTCATGGACCTGAGGTCTCTTCGTCAGATGAGTGGATTCCTTGTGGATTCCTTCTCGGTGTGTTTGTCTGCCACCTCCTGCGTCTGACAAAGGGACTCCGGTCCGCAAACGCTTTTGCTAGAAGATGTACGAGTTTTTAAGGTACCGCAGGATCGCTGAGGGTACTGTTTGATGTTAGCATTTCCCCGAATTCCTGAAAATAGTATAAGTACTGTAAATGTATTATAGTATGCCGATTTCCCGCCCCTACGCATTTCTCCCATTTCCATCAAGCTGTTACATTTTGCATTGTACCACTGCATCCTGCCTTTTTGCAACACCCCCTCCCACCTTAAAACTTGGGATACAAGGACTCGGGGGGGTCTCCATTCGTACTTGTATCTGACGGAGGGACCTCATACACCAGAGATCTTGTTGGTCTCCAAGGTGCTGCTGGATTCGAATCTAATCCTCAGATGTTTCAATGACAGAGAAGGGGAGGAACGATAATCTTGGCCAGTAAGCCTACACTCACTACAGCATCCCCGAGTTGTGTTGCTTTTCACCTGTGACTAACAGCAGGGGTCATTTCCTCAGGGGGCGGGCACATGCAACAAACCCCACCCCCTGCTCCCAGCAGCCCCAGGCCATGAGGAGCAAGAAGCCTCTTTCTTTCCCTCTTTCTTTCCTTCTCTCCTTTCCCTTTCCCTCATTTCCTTCTCTCCCTCTTTCTTTCCCTCCTTTCCTTCTCTTTTTTCCCTCCTTCCTTCCTTCCTTCCTGCACAGGTCTGTGCGTCTCCCCCCTCCCCCCCAGCTAGCAATCCAAAACAGTCCAGTGGAGCCTGAGCAGTGGGTGTTGCCTTCTGACACACTTCCGGTGATTTCAGGGGGCGTGGCATATGCTATTAAGTTATGCTAATGAGCACCTGCTCCTCTTTTTCTGTGAAATGACACCTGACTAGCAGTATTTTGTCACAGGCTGAAAGGAGCTCTTGGGAGAAGGGGTGTAGCAGGGAAACAAGCCTCTCCGAGCAACAAAACTTCCATAGGATACCGCTCATATGTATTGGTGGGGGTTAGGTGGATAATAATTGCAGTTCCTGTTTGTAAAAGCTCTGCATTCTCTCGAGGTCTGTTGAGAAGGCTGGGGAAAAGACGCTAAAATACCCCGAAAGGGCTATAACTGTATAAGTGTAGTCAGTTTTTACACAGCTGCTTTTGGGCTTTGGGTTACGAAGCACACCTTTTGGGGTGAACCAGTCTGGGAGTGTTGCTTTTTGTATATTACTGACTCTAGTTTCCCAGAACGTTTCTTCATATTCTTGATTGGCTTCTAGGGCCCCAGAACCGCAGAGACCTCAAGTGAAGCCCCCTGAGGACATTGTCCGGGCGAACCACTATGACCCGGAGGAGGATGAGGAGTACTATCGCAAGCAGCTCTCCTACTTTGACCGCCGGAGCTACGAGAACAAGCCTGCCGGGGCGCAGGTCCCCACCAGCCACCACCCGGAGCCTGCAAAGCCGGTCCATCTTCATAATCAGCTGAACTACAGTAACTACTCTTCCAAGTAAGTCTCTGATCTCGAGGCACTGCTTTTCCCTCGTCGTCTCTGCTTTGGCAAAGCCTCTGCTTCAGCATTTATGCCTAATGGATTCCTGCAGGAATACATTGATGGCGGGAAATGGCTCTCCTGAAAAACAAAACCTAGTTATTTGTACGAAAGTGTTTTTATTTTAGAACAGACCTGCTTGTAAGTTAGCATTTGGAACCTTGTGAAGATTTGTGAAAGACTTGCTATGCCGGTCACACCCTGCTTCAGTCGAAAGGGTGGCTGTGAGGTTCAGATGCTGCTCTGGGCGGATGGGAAGGACAGAAGGGTAGTAGGTGTGTGCAAAAAAAATCAGTATTTGTCGGGTGTGGGTGCACTGAACCCAAAAATATTGGTATTTCCCAATGCCACCATGGCAGACTCAGCGAGAGAACTCTGAAGGCATTAAAACCAATTAAAAACCGATTACTATCGGCTTTTATTTTGATTGCAGCTACTTTGATAGCCGAATACAGATCTCTAATTGTATTTGACTGAATAAATACCCGATAAGGTATTTTTCAGGTATTTATTTGACTCGGTATATAGTCTGAGCAGAAGCTTAAACTCCCTGAGCTGGAGCTAAAGTTTTGTATGCCAGTGCCCCCTAGCACAGCTTAGATGGAACTTTGCTTCTGAGTGGGGATATGAGGACTCAGAGATCTCCATTCCAACTCGTATCAGACAAAGGGAACTTTGACTCTCAGAAGCTCATACCGTAAGAATTTTGTTGGTCTCTAAGGTGCTACTGGACTCAGATCTAGATTTTCTGGAGGGGAACTGCTCTCTCTCTCTTCTCTGGAGATCAGTTGTCATTCCAGAGCGTGCTGGGCCCTACCTGGAGATTGGCTTACCCCACTTGGTAGACTGCCGTCTTCCTCAGACAGGGATGGGCACAGGCTGAGAGCTCTCTGCTTTGCTTTAAGGCTACCTAACCAGTTCCTGGATCATTCTTCTCTTAGCTGGAATGCTGCTTATAACTCTGATTGTAACCTTTAAAGCTCGGCACAGCCTGGACTTTGCTACTATGATGTTGAGTTAAGCCCCGTTTGATTACCCTCTTTGTGTCAGGATCATGCTTTGCCATAGTAAAAGAGGGATTAGCAAACTTAATGCATGCCTCCGAAGCCTGCTCGGTTGCTTCCTGCCGGCTTGTTGTGGTTTGTTTTGTAATGGCGCCATCTGCTGGATGGAGCACTCCCCACACTGCTGAGTTCATCGAAACATGACTTGGGCGTAGAGATGTGAGGGCCCGGGGAAAAACTGGAAAAATTCGGGGGGGGGGGGGACGGGTTTTTTCCATGTTTTTTCCCTTAAGCCTTTTTTGTTTTTTTCCAAAAAAACTGGAAAAATTGGAAAAAGAAAAGGAAAGAAATTGATTATGGAACGTTTTATTTTGACATGATGAATAAAATACTAGTGTTCAAATATTTTCCAAATCATTTCTAAAAAATATGTATGCTATCGGAGTAATCTAATTTCTGTGCACTGAGGACAAGCAAGTCCTAGGTTGTTCTTATGCCACAAGGTATAGATAGGGACTCTGGGGCAAGTGATGCTCTGTCTTCTTGGTGCTTGGGGGGGGGTCAACAGTGGGAGGGCTTCTAATGTCCTGGCCCCACTGCTGGACCTCCTGATGGCACTGGTATTTCTGGCCACTGTGTGACACAGAGTGTTGGACTGGATGGGCCTTTGGCCTGATCCAACATTGGCGTCTCTTATGTTCTTATGTTACAAACCGAACTTTGTAATAATTGTTTGGATACACTATATTTTAATATGCTAATTCTGATAATTTCATGCCAAGTAAAATCGTCCATAATCATATTTTACGTCCCTAAAGTAACAGAATGACTTTCAATCTGGAAAAGAAAAGGTGCTAACGTAGCATTTTTTTCCATTTTTCCGGAATTTTTACATCTGTACATGGGCGTTCCTGGAATGAGCGATTCCATTTTCCCACTAATACCTCCAGAGGAGTAGCTGTGTTAGTCCATTGCAGCAGAAGTACACAGTCATGTGGCACCTTTGAAAACTAGCCCAGTTTCATTCCAGCACAAGCTTTCATCAGGGCCGTAGCCGGGATTTTGTGGCTTGTGGGGCAATTTTTTTTTCTGTTGGGGCTGAAGTTCTCAGTGCAGAAAGAAAAGCCATTGAGCCAATAGGAAGCTGTGACCAGGAGAGATCTCTAAACTACAAGCTGTCAACCACTTTAGATGACAGTTCTCAGCTGCTGCAAGTTAATCACTTCTGCCAGCCTCAGCAGCAATTCTGAGAACAAGGCGGCAGGTGGGGGTAAGGACTTCTATAGTCAAGAAAGCTAACATTGAGGCAGAAAAACTCTCTGAAAGGAGACCAGTTTCTTGACAAAGAGTTAGAAGGGATCCTAGAGGTCACCTATTCCAACCCCCTTGCTCAGTGTTGGAATTAGTCAACTACAGCACCCCACCCTGCTTAAAGGAGTGCACACCTTTTAAAAAAAGGTTTTAAAATGATTGAAAAAAGCATTTGCAGGAGACATTCTTGTGGGGTTGTGCCTTTAAGAAAGGGGGTGCAGCCCCAAAAAGCTCCATCATAGCTACAGACATGGCTTTTGTGGCCCTCTAGTGGTGGTTCTTCCAAGGGGGTTATTCTGGAATAAAATTTTGTCTTTATGTTCTCAAGACATCCCTGCCTTTTCCCACCACTAGTCCTCCTACCATGTGAGCCGAAGTAGCACTTATGCTATTTCAAGCCCATTTAAGTCAGTGGGCTTAGACGAGTGTAACTCAGTTTAGCATGCCACTGTCTTCTTGGAATAGCAGCACATTCTTCCTCTACTGGTAGACATTGTTAAGCAAGCCTGTTTCTTCTTATAAAATTCTGGCCAACTTATAGGCCGGAGTTACACGACCAGCAGAGTAAAATTTAGAATGCAGGTTGGAAGGGATGCCTTCGTTGAATACTCCCTCATTTAAAACACACAGTCTTCCCTGTGGGTAGAAAGCTAGCATGTAAGGGAATGAGCGAAAGCTGTGACGTGCTACTTGCAGGGTGGTATTACGCTGTGGCTCAGGGGTAGAGCATCTGCTTGGCATGCAGAAGGTCCCAGGTTCAATCCATAGCTTGTCCAGTTAAAAGATCTGGTGTGAAAGACCTCTGCCTGAGACGTCAGAGATCTGCTTTCAGTCTGAGTAGACAATACTGACTTCGATGGACCGATGGTCCGATTCGGTATAAGGCAGTTTCATGTGTTCATGCCAGGAGTTGGAGCATGCTACAGAGTTAGGCATGACTTTATTGCCGGCTTTGTTAAGGGGGGGAACTAGCGTCACAGAGATCCCAGATAGAACCTATGATTCGCTCTTTACACTATGAACCTTGTGGTCTGTTAAAATTGTTGAAATCAGGTTCCCACCTACACAGCCGGCAAACTGAAGAAGTCGAAGGAAACACATCTTCTAAGTATCTAGAACCGGCATCTTTGCAAAGGCTGTTTGGACAATGTTTTGACTATGTGGGGGGACTCCTATCAAGTTCCACTGATTACATCGACTTTACGTCTTATATTCTAAGGGGGAAACATTGTGTCTTGTGCCTTATTAGAGTTATAGTGGGCACTAAATTTGGTTGTTGTGACAACACCAGCTTTATATTTGTTAAATACAGTTTATATTTTGGCAATCTCTGATGGTGTTTCTCCTAGTGGAATTTGTATATCTGGGGGCTTTAAGGCAGCTGAGCCACCTACCCATCCTTTGGGTCACACCCAGCGGTGGGGGGTGAGTTTTGTTTATGCAGTTCTGCCGGGCCTGTAAGACGGAGCTCTTCCGCCAGGCTTTCGAGTAGGAGCCGCCACTGCCACTATAATGCCACCATCGATATGCATGCAGCATCGCACCACTACCACCAATATGTGGTTCCATCTGGGCCCGAGGTGACCCTGGAAGGAGAGGGGATGACAGGTTGCGGGACCAATGCCATCCGACTAAGATCTGCCCCATCTTGCGATAAATGGAGCACTGACACTTTGTTGTTGTATTATATTGTTTTACTGTTTTAGGCTGTTTTATCTGTTTTAACTCTGGCACTTGTATTATTATTGTTATTATTATTATTATTATTATTATTATTATTATTATTATAAAAATTGTGCAGATCTAGCATGTTAGAAGAAAAAGGCGCACTGAGCCGTTGAGCGTTAAGTAGCAAGTGTTGTGCACGACCTGCTCTTTCTGCATGCGTAAAGAGACTGGCATTGAGAAAGGATGGAGAACACATGAGCCACCTTCAGGGATCCTCCAGCGGCTGTAACAGCAGCCGTCTCACACACGCCTTCCCAGTGGCCTTCCCGAAGTATCCACCATCATTTTGGGACTCTTTGACTCTGTCGCACGATGTGTTAACATCCCGAACGCAAGCGTGTTGTCTAGAGGTTTCCGCTTTCTCAACAAGTTTAGACTGTGTCTAACGTGCAATTTCCCCACAAGGGCTCCCCAAGCTAACGTCCGTACCAGTGTTTCCCAAACTCACTGCACCTCAGGCATCCCCTGCTGTGTTTTGGCATGAGTTAAAATTGGCCATGCTGTTATGCGCATAAATTCTTAGTTTGTTTCCCCAAAGAAGGATCAGGCATCCTTTCTTGCCTGATCAGAGTCATCTCACACATGCTTCTCTGCCCGGTTCTCATGGTCCTGTTCACAGAGATCGGACTTCCTCAGCATCGGTGGGGCTACCGGTGTTCCCTTTGCGCCTTTCAGTGACAAAGCCGGCTCCATCACACTGAAACATCTTTGCATCTGCCTGTCTCTGGGGGAGACGAGAATTACACTCCAAGAGGTGGCTGCATCCGGCTGACAGCCTTTGACGACTCCTTCTGCCTCCTGGCAGTTCTAAATCACAGATTTTAATTAGAGGTTTTCTATGTATTTTATGAGGAGCTGCGGTGGCTCAAGTGGTTAAGACACTGAACTGCAGGCTGTGGAAAGTCAGTAGTTCAGCAGTTCGAGACCCGAGTGTGCCGCATGAGGGAGTGAGCTCCCGTCTCTAGTTCCAGCTCCTGCCAACCTAGCAGTTCAAAAGCAAGAAATTGCAAGTAGATAAATAGGGACCACTTCGGTGGGAAGGTAACAGCGTTCCATGCGCCTTGGTGTTTAGTCATGCCGGCCACATGACCACGGAAACGTCTTCGGACAGCGCTGGCTCTTCGGCTTTGAAACGGAGATGAGCACCGCAACCCTAGAGTCAGATTCAACTGGCTTTCGAGCAAGGGAAACCTTTACCTTTACCCATGTATTTTATGGCATTTTATGTAAGGTAGAAAGGCGGCTAATAATTAAAAATAAACTTGGTTTAATTCTGCAAGGCACACTTCTGCCCCATCTAGGCTAGTATTCTGTGTTTGGCACTTAAGTTTGGGAGCCACTGGTCCGCTGAGGGCTTGGCTTTTGAGGACTTGCGCCGAAAGAAATGCTTCAGCTAGAATGACCCATTTCTCTTCTGTTCTGTTGCCATATCGCTTCGCCGTTACCTAGATTTCTTGGCTCTTACGCTAGCTATGACTACTTGAAAAGGAGCGTCAAGTGGTAAGAACCCCCGTTGATGTGAAATTGTTCCCGAGATGTTCTTCCTCTTTTCTCTGTCTCCCGTCGTGTTCTCTCAAAGGCATTATGTGCAGGTCACTTGAAACAGCTTTTGGAATTTTCACCTGGGTCCAAACCCCCCCTCCCCCAAAAGTAAAAAGTATCGGCCATCGACAGTAAGAACCGCTTTTGGGGGGTGGGGGGATGTAACATCCAAAACAAAAAAAACCTGTGAACGTTTTGGTTTTTTAACTAGCTTAAAATGTATGCACATAAAGCCATTGACACTTATTCCACTTCTGGAAGAGATGACATCGTAGATTCCTGACGTTGGGTGTATTGAGGAAGGGGGTCTATTGAATGGCACTTCCTAGGATCATTCCGGTTTTTTAAATTGCTTCTCCCCCTCCCATTATTTGACAAGCAAAATGGGCAATACAAAAAAAAGAAACACTAACCAAAAAAAAAAAGGGTTTACACCCATGAAATGCACTCAGATGTCATCTGTGTTGTTTGGCATCCCTGCTGCTTTGTGTGACTAACCTTTCTAACCAGTCGCTGCCGTCGAAATTCTCTTGTGCTTTTTTAACATCACTATTTCTGGATGGTTACGAAGTTTATGCTAACACTCGCAGAACGGAATCGGGTCCGTTTCTTGCACAAAAGCGGGGGGTTCGTTCTGCCGTCTTCCGGAGGAGCAGATGAGCCTCATTTCTCTGCTCAAGCGCGCGAAGGGCGTGTCCGTTTACCAAAGCACAAAGACTCGCCTTTCTGGTGGTGTTACCTCTACCTTGGCAGAGCAGAGGTAGTTCCGCGTTACAGACCGACTGCCGTATTAAAACATAGCCCGGAGTGTCGCCTTTCAGAAAGACCTGTAGGGGAGAGCGACCGGAAGAAATGCCAAGCAGGCGAAGTGGGGGCGGTACCGATCTGAAGTTGACACACTCCTCTTTCTATCTTTCCCTCCAGGGGGAAGTCCATAGACGTGGAGCCTTTGGAGAGGGGCGTGGCTGAGAAGCGCTACGAGCCGGTCCCGCAAGTGACTCCGCCTCCTCCCGCGCCCCCAGTGCAGTACACCCAGCCTCAGTCCATCAATAACCCAATTGTGTCTCTCCAGCCCAAACCTGCGCTTCCTGAAGGTAGGAGCCTGCATATTTTTTAAAATTTCTCGTAGAACTCAGAAATCGTTTAATTTATTCCATGTTGCGCAGTGTCGTGCAGGGAGTATTTTATTCATATTTAGAAGAAGAAGAAAATAAGAGATTGGATTTATACCCCGCCCTTCAGTACCCGAAGGAGTCTCAGAGCGGCTCACAATCTCCTTTCCCTCCCCCTCCCCACAACAGACACCTTGGGAGGTCAGTGGGACTGAGAGAGCTCTTGCGAGGACTGCCCTTGAGAGAACTTGTGACTGACCCAAGGTCACACCAGCAGCTGCACGTGGAGGAGTGGGGAATCAAACCCGGTTCTCCCAGATTAGAGTCTGCGCACTTAACCACTACACCAAACCTTATTGCAAAGATCTACACGTCGCCTTTCTGTCATTGGAAGCCCTCGGGCTGGCTTACAAATACATTTCAACGCAGTCTATTGCAGTCAGTCTTACTGCATTCATCGTTGCGGTACCCATGACGTCCTGCGTAGGACCACGTGTACGCACTACCCTATGTGTGTCTGCACAGGTGACCACTCGATGGACAGCAGTTACAGGAAACTGCAGCTCTGTTTTCATCATCGTGGTACCTGTGCAGTCCCACGAAGGTCTGCGCAGATGCAGTACCCCCAGGTATGACTGCAGAGGTGAGCATTCTGTGAACAACAGTTACAGGTGAGTGCTACCCTCTGTAGAACCCCTCCCCAAAGTAAGCTTAAGGGGCCCTGTGCCTGCCGTCCATGCCGTAGGAACAAGCAAAATACAAATGGGGACCGCAGTTAGATGATATAAAAAGCCGTAAGAACATCATGAAGCAAGCTAGCCAACAACAGAAGAACTCTGTGCCCAGCTTGACTTTTGAAGCAGACCATTTGGGGAGTGATAGGAGGCAGCGGTGTTCTGTTATTTTTATTTATTTATTTATTTATTTATTTATTTATTTATTTTGATTTCTTAGCCGCCCTTCCCCGCTTACGCGGGGCTCGGGGCGGTTTACAACACCATAAAACCCGGCACAATTCTAAGACCAGTTAAAATGACGAAATTCAGTGTTGATTTTATTTTATTTATTTATTTTATTTCATTTATACCCCACCCTCCCCGCATGCGGGCTCAGGGCAGCTTACACAGGCACAACAGTGCAATAAAATATAACACATTAAAACAATTTAGGCACCCAAAGTGCGATAAAATTACACAGTTAGCCACTTAAAACACAATTCAATCTTACAGGATGCATCGGTAAGATGACAGCTAATGTCATTATTAAATATCACAGTGAGGTCAAAAGAAAGGGGGGGGGTGCCATAGGCCGAGATGTCCCAGTTGGCTAATCAGCCCACCCCGACGGCACTGCTCTGCAGTACACAATGGTGGTAATAGTGGCAGCGGCGGCTCCTATTCGAAAGCCTGGCGGAAGAGCTCCATCTTGCAAGCCCTGTGGAACTGTAAAAGGTCCCGCAGGGCCCTGATCTCCTCCGGGAGCTCATTCCACCAGGTAGGAGCTGCCACCGAAAAGGGCCTGGCCTCTTTAGGTCCCGGGGTCAGTAGGCGGTGTTGTGACCCCGACCGAAGTGCTCTTTGGGGCCTGTATGGGGAAAGGCGGTCCCTCAGGTATGCCGGACCCTGGCCATATTATTATGTTAAAACATTCAGCAGAAATAATTTTCTAAATAATCTTTTGAGTTTTATTGAACAATATTACCAACTGATAACAGAATGGAGTGCAAGCAACGTAGAGCAAAAGATCAATACAGATATAGATCTAAATATCAGGCTCATCTCAACAGGCATGAATTAGCATTAGAACCTTCAACGCAGCATGAGAAGGAATAATCACAATTCATTCAATGTGAGCAGAGAAGAGAGATTGGATTCTTGTCCAGTACATAGCAACGATCTGTGGTGTTCGGTTATTTAATATGCCCTTCTGATAAGTGGTATCTGACCAAATTAATAGAAGGTTGCCAGCTCTTGGGGGGGGGGGGTGAAGGGTCTTCTCGAAACAGTCTTTATCGATTTGTCCATTGGGATTTGCGTTTCTGCAACTTCAGGGAGAACCGTTCTTTCAACAAGGGTGCCTTTTAATCTGCATGGCCAGTCAGATGCCCTCCTGGGCAAAAGCCCCGCCTAGCCCTGCCGGCTTTTTAAAAGCGCTTGATGGGCGCCAGGGAAAGTTGTTGATGGGCATCACGACCTGTGTTCCCTCTAAGCTGAGTGAGTGTGAGCCAACTCACAGTTTTTTTAGCCTCTGGCGCGTGCATTTTTGTCTTCACTCAGGAAGGACGGCTCCAGAGCAAACTGCTTTATGCAGCAGCCCAATCGCTCGCTCACAACTTTAATGCTGGCAGCTCACAAAGTCGAATTTTTGCTCACAAGACTCCACTGTTTAGAGGGAGCATTGCTATGGCTCCCACGGGCAATGCTCCCTCTAAGCTGGTGGAGTCTTGTGAGCAAAAATTCCACTTTGTGAGCTACTGGCATTACAGTTTTGTGAGCGAGCAATTTGGCTGCATAAAGTAGCTTGCTCTGGAGCCCTCCTTCCTGAGCCACGACAAAAATGTGTACGCTGGAGGCTAAGAAACTGTGAGCTAGCTCACACTAACTCAGCTTAGAGGGAACACTGCCCACGGGCATTGCGTTGGGGACCTACATTCAACACCTACCACTTGCTGCCGTATTTCTTCCTGCTCACCGAATAGTTGCATCTACCCGATCCTATCTGCGAACTCCTTGGCAAGGGTAGTCATGTCGTGACCACATCCCAATTTTCTCCCCCCCCCCCCCGCTAC